GTGCTTGTTTTTAATCGTTTTCAGTTAAAAACTGTTACATCACACGTATATTTTACCTAAACTGCGGCTTAATGAATATATTCTCGGAGATAAATAGCAGTTTGTAAGCGTGATGTATTTTAATGTAAAATGGATAAAATACATAGCGAAAACAAAAGATTTTACCTAACCTTCCGATGTTCAAGAACTTACTCGTTTTTTAATAGTTTTCTGTTAAAATACTGTTATATTACAATGATATTCTATTCATACTGTGCTTGATATAATACATTCACGGAAATGTAATATTTTTGCTCGGAAATTACGTACGTATTACAGTGGAAAGTGGGATGAAATCATTGGACGAAAACAATGACTTTGAAATATAATGCAATATTAACTATTAAATCGGTTAATTCGGACAATCGGCAACGGACACCTTCCCTATTAGTCGAATTAGCGAGGGTCAACTGTACTGTATTGGCGGACTAATACTACAGCTGGAGGAGCAGGCGAAACATGTTGGGAAAAATTAAAGGAATTCATTAACGAAGTGAAGAATCTTATGTAAGGTGATTCGTTAACTGAATTTCGATTAACGAGGATCACTGTATTCGAAAAGAAAAAATCAACGTTTTCCGTTATGATTGTTGGATGGGGATCTTTAAAAAAAAGAAGTGATTTCCAAAGACAATGCATATCAAATTTGTTCAAAAGCTCATTAAAAACCATAGGAAAAATCTATTTTTATTATAAAAATAAAGACGGTGTGATACTAAAATTGACCGATTGATTTGTAATTACAGTGGTCCCTAGGTTAACGAGCGCCTCGGTTAACGAGATTTCGGTTAACGATTTACCTTCCATAAGATTCTTAACTTCGGTTAACAAGCAATCCCTCGATTAACGAGTTTTTTACGAGCCGACTTCAACATGTTTTCGCTTGCATTTGGCTGTCCACCAGCTGTAGTATGTCCGCCAATACAGTAATCGGTTCTAGGGCTTAAATTCCTTACTATTTTAGTAATTATCAAGAAGTTTATACTATTCAATAATTTTAAAAGTTTAATATTAACTTTTTTAGTCATTTTAACAAATTATTGAACATAATTGAAGGTAAAGAAACTAGTTTCTGGCGTGCCATCCAGCCTCTTAACACAGCAAACAGGAGTTAGTCTCTCTCTGTTTTTAGTGGAGGTAACATCTTGCTTGAGACTCTCTTCAACTAAACTCTTTTTTTCTGTGTTCCAAGCAAATTATTGGTCATTTTGAAATATATTTTACATACAGGTGGCCTATCAAAAATCCGGCAACCTCGGGACCTGAGGAGTGCCAGATTTTCGAAAATGCCGGAAAACTGATGGTTATATTTGCTGTATAAGTTTAACAGAAAATGACAACCTGTACAGTCCTTTAAACAAAGAAAATTAAACACTTAAGTTAGGATAATATAATTGACATTGCTGGATTCCTTGTAAGACCAGGAATATTTTGAATATAAATGTCATATATGTTGCACAAAAGATAACATATTTATTCAGAGTGAACATTGTATCTAAAATTTGTATGTCTAATGCAAAATCTTGATGTTTGTATTCAAGATGATCATCATATTGTAAGAATTCCAGCAATGTAAATTATATTCTGGCCGGGTAATTTGTATGAATTTTATGAGCTAAAACAAATATTTTCAGTTAATAAAAAAAAAATATTCTTCACACAGTGCCAGATGGTCGGACGGTCCCTCCCTCCCCCCCACCCCCCACCAACCCTCCTTACCAAATAAATGTGTGGGAAAACCAGACTATTTACCTTTTAAGTAATAAATAATACCTCAGACTGAAGTTAGGATAATATAATTGACATTGCTAGATTCCTTGTAAGACCAGGAATATTTTGAATATAAATTTCATATATTTTGCACAAAAGATAACATATTTACTCAGAGTAAACATTATATCTAAAATTTGTATGTCTAATGCAAAATCAAAATTCAAAATGATCATCAAATTGATAAGAATTCCAGCAATGTAAATTATATTCTGGCCGGGTAATTTGTATGAATTTTATGAGCTTAAACATATATCTTCATTAAATAAACAAAGAAATATTTGAAAATGCGCTCTGAAATCCATGCGGAAAAGCTGAAGGTTCGGTTTTTATCGATTGCGGATTTTTGATGGTCAACCTGTATTGACAATATATAATGCAGTGCAGTGTTGATTTAAAAAGTAATCTTGAATTCCACCAAGAGAACTAAAATTTTATGGGTGAAATGGCGCCATGGGGTGACTTCTCTTCCACCCCAATGCCTTCTCTTCTCCCTTCTCCACCCCCATTCTAATTCCCATCATCATCATCCAGGAGCCTTCTACATACACACCTCAAAGTAAGTGTACTTTTCTACCTTTTTTGTTGAATTTAGGCAATTTTCGGTGAGCTGGAACCAATTACCCAAAAACCCATTGAAACAATGGTTTCGGTTAACGAGTTTTTCGGTTAACGAGCAACCTGCTGGAACGGATTGTGCTCGTTAACCGAGGGACCACTGTATTTATTTATTCATTCTATCTTATTTCTATATAAACGGTCATATGTGGTAGAGGTGATCTTTTTGCTTTTATATCTGATATTATATTTAGTTCACAATTAAGATCACTTGCATAGAAAAAATAATAATACAGTAATACTGTATACATACTGTACACAAACAAAATGGTGACTTTTTCTTTATGCACCGGTCTTTCTCTTGCTGTTATTAATGTGTTTCGTAATGTTTAGACAATTCTAAGACATTTTTCTATGATATTTCAGCCGGAAATTAAGGATAACTTGGATATTAATTTTTCATATTATTAAATTCTCTCAGTCACAAGTGCCGTCATGTCTTATTTACCTTGAGGAGATTTTATCTGCGCATAACGCATGAGCAGTAGTAACTGATGTCATCCAGTCGTGACCAATGATGTATCGATATCATCGCGCAATTTTTTTCGACCTATCACATTTGAGTTTTTTCCAAGTAAGCAGCCTGGGTAATTATATCGATCAGAAAAGTGTTAATTGCATATCAGTGTAATTTTTATTTTGTGCCGATCAGTTGTGAATAGGATAAAGGTAAAGTAAAAGTAAATACATTGATATTTAGAGATGGTGAGTGGGCAGTGAACGTCAGCCGTGTTAAGAGTGTTGGGGACAGTGGTTCACTTCTGAGTGTCACCATAATGTACCAAGGTTATGTAGTTTAATGTTTTATTTTGGACAATACCATTTATTTGAGTTATTTGTTGTGTGAATTCAATAGAAAACACTCAAGTTCTTACTTGATGCCAATTTTTTTACTATTTAATTTACTGATATAACACGAGTTGAGTGTTATATATTTTTTGTGTATGTACAGTAGTACCCCAATTTACGCGGTCAATTGAACCCACAGGTACCGCGTAAAGTGAACAACAGAACATATGGGATTAATTCCAACAGAGACTGGTCCGACCCCCAAACTCCACTTTTTCCGACACAATACCTATGTTGTAGTAAAAATAACATCTAAATTTTATGATGGTATGCTCACACAATTAATATTTAAGAGAAATACAGTCGCCAGGTTAATGTCCATTCAAATAATGGACTCAAATCCCCCCCCCCCCTCTTCCCAGCTCACTGGCCCCTACCTCTCTGAGAAATGATTGGGTGAAACACTAGATTTTAACGTTTAGTAATAAATAATACCTCAGACTAAAGTTAGGATAATATAATTGACATTTCTGGATTCCTTGCAGGTCAGGGAATATTTTGAATGTAAACTTCATATATTTTGCACAAAAGATAAAATACTTGCTTTGTGTAAACCAAATTATTACATTAGATCTAAAATTTGTATGTCTAATGCAAAATCCATGATGTTTATATTCAAAATGATCATCATATTGTAAGAATTCCAGCAATGTAAATTATATTCTGGTCCAGTAATTTGTATGAATTTTATGAGCTAAAACAAATATCTTCAGTTCATAAAAAAAAAAATATTCTTCACGACACTATCTGTCAATCAAAGTACCCCAACTTGCCTCCCCCCTCTTCCAACCGCGCCAGATGGTCGGTCGATCCCAACCCTCACCCCCACCCCCCACCTTCCCTCCCTACCAGAGAAATGTTGGGTGAAAAACTAGATTTTAACTTTTAGTAATAAATAATACCTCAGACTAAAGTTAGGATAATATAATTGACATTTCTGGATTCCTTGCAGGTCAGGGAATATTTTGAATGTAAACTTCATATATTTTGCACAAAAGATAAAATATTTGCTTTGTGTAAACCAAATTATTACATTAGATCTAAAATTTGTATGTCTAATGCAAAATCCATGATGTTTATATTCAAAATGATCATCATATTGTAAGAATTCCAGCAATGTAAATTATATTCTGGCCGGGTAATTTGTATGAATTTTATGAGCTAAAACATATATCTTCAGTAAATAAACAAAGAAATATTCTTCAAGGACACTATCTGTCAATCAAAATACTCGCCCTAGCTGGGTCGGTCCCTCCCTCCCTACCAGAGAAGCTTTGGGAGAAAATAGTATATTTACATTTTTAGTAATAAATAATAACTCAGACTAAAGTTAGGATAATATAATTGACATTTCTGGATTCCTTGCAGGTCAGGGAATATTTTGAATGTAAACTTCATATATTTTGCACAAAAGATAAAATACTTGCTTTGTGTAAACCAAATTATTACATTAGATCTAAAATTTGTATGTCTAATGCAAAATCCATGATGTTTATATTCAAAATGATCATCATATTGTAAGAATTCCAGCAATGTAAATTATATTCTGGCCGGGTAATTTGTATGAATTTTATGAGCTAAATAAAAAAAAAAATTATACTTCACCGCGTATATGAGTAGATGCACCGCGGAAAGTGAAAGTCCGGTTCTGGCAAGGTACCGCGTAAATGAGAAATCGCGGAAAGTGAAACCGTGTAAAGCGGGGTAATACTGTATATTATTATTTCTTTGCAAATGATTTTAATTGTGAACTATAGTGGTCCGAGATGGGCCGAGTTGGAGGTGCACCATATTTATGATGTGTTTCCACTCATTATGACAAGGATCAAATGTCTGCAGGTAATATTTCGGTACGAAAATGAGGATTAATTGTGAAGTTCAGGTAAACAATCGTAAGTTACCATCCCTGAACATCAGCAATAAGAGAGGTGGGACGCGATCTTCACTAGGCATTGGTCGCCACCCTGGGTCCAAGGCGGATGTGTCGAGTCTCTTCATTCATTTATGTACAGCACAACACAAGCTAGGCACAAAATATAAGGTAATCACAGTTCTAATTTCTTTTTCTCTATATTTTTATAAAAAAAATTTAATTATTGACGACTGACCCTCCGGCGATTTAGCATAGTAAACAATTATAAAAAGGCCGCAATTTAACTGTGTTCTATAGAGTACATTGTCGTAGTTTGTGCATTTTTTTTTTTTTTTTACAAACCCAACCTTAACCCTAACCTAACATTAACTTAAAACCTACCAAACCTAACTTTAACCTAACCTGACCTTAACATAAAACCGCATCAATTACCCCCAAGAAGACAAAGAAATGCGAACTTTAGGCGCCTAAATATCTACCAAACAAAGTATTTGCACAAGAGATGATTATCATGTCAGTTCTCACTGATGAAAATAGAGAAAGAAAATAGACGCCCAAACAAATAACTCGTTGGCAGGTCAGTCGTCAATATTAATCAAATTTTATCTCATTATTGTGACAGTTACCTGACTAAAGAATTCCATACTACCATAATGTCCCATCTATCATTACTTTGATGAATTGAGTACAGTAAAAGTCCAAAAATCTGGATGCCAGAAATCCGGACCACCCGAGAATCCGGACTTTTCGAAAACTTTCAAACTTTTTAAATTTAGCGGGCTTTTGTGGGTTATGTGAATGAATGGAGTAGCTTTAAAAAAATTAATTTACATTATTCTAATAATAAAAGTAATTGTAAACTATAGGTAGCTAATTTTGTTAGTTTTGTAATTAGCTTGTCCTGAAATGTAAAATTTGAGGCACTATAAATCTTTTGTGTGTATGTGTGCATGCGTGAACGCCACAGCTACACAGCGACAACAAGCTACCACGCGATCGCCACTTTAAAACAAGCAATCAAACTGTGACAATGTATGTAATTTTGAGTCCTACTCTTCCCATTTACAGAGTACAAGCCCATAATAATGGCTCCTAAAGTAGATAAACTTCGTTGTGTGAAGGGAAAGAAGAACACATTGAAATTGAGTGACAAACTTGAAATAATTAAGAAACTAGAACGTGGTATGAGCAATGCTGTTCTAATGGACCATACGACATTGGAAAGTCAACAATTTATGATATAAAAAAGGCAAAGAATAAAATTCTAGAATTCACAATAAAATTGCTGAAAGAAAAAGTTTACATCGGCTCAAATTAAAAAATCTTTATAAAGTGTTGCACGAATGGTTTTTGTTAAAACGATCAGAAGGTATGGCAATTTCTGGGCCGATGCTTATTGCCAAAGCAAAGTCTTTTAAGGAGCAAATGAACATTGAATCAGAGTGCGCATTTAGTGATGGATGGCTTAGGAATTTCAAGACTCGTCGTGGTATTAGACAGTTAGATATTGCTGGAGAAAGACAATCGGCTGATACACAAGCAGCAACAAAATACAGTGCTACATTTGAACAAATTGTAAATGACTATGATCTCACAGCCGATCAAGTTTATAATGCTGATGAAACAGGAGTTTACTGGAAGTGTTTGGACCACAAAAACTTTGGCTGGAAACCAAGAACGAAATGCAACAGAGTTTAAGCTTAATAAGGAAATATTAACCGTTTTTGTATGTGCTAATGCTTCAGGTCAGCATAAAATTAAGCTTTTGGTGATTGGCAAATTTAAGCGCCCACGGGCCTTTAAAGGAACTGTGCACTTGCCTGTGACCTATGCAGCCCAACAGAGTGCTTGATGGACAAAGACATATTTCGTGATTGGTTTGTTCACGATTTTGTTCCATCAGTTGGTCAGAACTTAAGGAAATTGGGGAAGCCTGCAAATACAAAGTGCCTGCTGCTTCTCGACAACTGTAGGGCCCACCCGCATGAATCAAAATTAGTGTCTGATTGCGGGAATATTTCTGCATGTTACTTGCCACCAAACGTAACATCATTGATTCAACCCATGGATCAAGGAGACATTAGGAACTTTAAATGTCACTATAAAAATGATTTTATGACGAAAATGATGAATAAGAATGTCAACCCTACAGAATTTCAAAGAAGTTTTACGATCAAGGATGCAATATTTTCACTCGTGAATGCATGGAATGCAGTCAAGCCTGAAACACTTTTAAGAGCGTGGCGAAAGTTGTGGCCGAAAGTGATGTTTGCAGATCTAGAGTGTGATCAAGACAAAGATTTTGAAGGATTCCACATAAAGCAGAGGGCATCTGAAGTGCAAGAACTGATGGAGACTGTTAAATTATCTCTGGAAGACAACCCTCTACGCAAGCTTAATGCTGCTGACATAGAAGAGTGGATACACATTGACGATGATATTGAAGTTGCAGCCACTTTCACTGATTAAGAAATCATTCAAAGCATTTCAACTTCTGAGAAGATAGAAGAGAATTGTTCAGAAGAATCTGGTGAAGAAGACGATAAAGTTGAATAAAAGATATCTTGGGCTACTGCAGAAAAGTGCATTGAAACGATTATTAAATTTGTGGAACAGAACCATAGCTTCAGTCTTCAAGACGTCATGCATGCACACATGGTGCAGAATAATCTTATCACAAAGAAATTACAAAGTCGTAAACAAGGTGATATCCGAAAGTGTTTAAAGAAAGCAGTGTCAAGCAGTGCAGCAGATGCAGCACGTGTTCCATCCACAAGCAGTGCAGCAGACGATACAGAAGTCGTGGAAATGAACGAATAAATATTTATTTGTTGTTTTGTACTTTGTATTTATAGGAAAATGCTTCGTTAATATACTACAAATAAATAATCAATTTGTATAAAATAAATTCTGCTTTCATTTGTTTACTGTATTTTTATTTTACAATGTTCATTTTTAAACATGATTTCAAGCATTACACGCCCCCTTTTTCGTAGTGAAAAATGTTTGTTTACATTTTTGTCAAGTGTTGACTTTATTTTTCTTTAAAACTGCTCGTTTTGATAAATGAAGCATGCTGTATTTGATAATGAATAAACTATCAAAATGTACCTGTTCATCTCTTCTTTATTCCTCCTTAAATTTGAATTTTAAAAGTACTGCCTGAGAATCCAGAAAATCCGAAAATCCGGACCGACCCAATCCCCCGAGCAGTCTGGATTTTTGGACTTCTACTGTATTTATTTAAATTGTTATATTTTGTATTGTGTTTCATATTTCAGGTTGGTGGGAATATTGAGGCTGTGTTTACAAAATTTGTCGCAGAAGGTAAATTTACAATTCGTTTCAAGGAACCATCGCATGACCTCTGTGTGAAAGCTGACCCAGTGTTGGCTAAAACATTCTTACAAACATGTGAGTTATATAGTTACCAGTACCTATGATGTGACTAAACTACTTGCTGGCAACATGTGCATTCATTTTACATCAGTTACATTATGCCCTAACCTATACTATCCTATAAACAGGCATTAATTTATTTGTGTTACACTTAGAGCAACAGACGAGATCTTTTAGCTTGTCTCACTGCTGCTGAGATACAAACTGTGTTGAACAGTGATCATGTAAGCTGTCTTTCTTAAAGTACTCTACTGAGGTGAGGTGTGTGTAGGTATGTAGAGATAAGCCCCTGACTGGTGGGAGGTGATTCGGGTATTATTTTAGTTTCGGTCATCTGGGGAATTGGTTAGGGTACATTAGGTTAGGTTATGTTGGTTTGTTTGGATATCTAAATACAGGGATGACTGAAACTAAAATTTTACTGTGATTAGAATTCTTCTCTTTTTGAAGAATATATTGTGTGTATGTGAGGATAATGAAGATGACCTCCGTCACTATACTGTACAGTACTATGCAGTACTTTTGTACTGTACTGTACAGGTGCTTCCATTTACTACTTTTGCACATTAATATGGGATGACTGATTAATGGCTTGTGGGGGAACTTTTTTGCTTAACTTTTGCTCACCTGTGATTTGTGGGGTAAACAAGTCTCATTTATCTAATAAAAAAATGATTGATATTACCACATTAGCACACTTGATTTTTATGAAAAGTAACGTATCTTGTGAAAAATGGTGTAAAGGCGGCAGTACACTGGGCTCTTTTCCTCCCAACATGTTTGGCAAACACGGTTCGGTCAGCAAAACAAAGAGATGTTTGCGTCAGACTGGGATGTTTTGTTGGCGCGCCTGCCCAATGCAATGAATACAACAAAAAAGCATCTAGACGCGGTTCGCCATAGGTCCTGTTACTACAGTTGAGGCTTTGCAGGATTGTGCTATAGTTCTTCTATTGCTGAAGCAAGTGAGGCATCTGCAAAAGCTAAAGAAAATACAATGGGTGTGTCGTGAATTTTCTTTAAAAGTGGGGTCGGCTGCCTGGTTAAAGAAGACCCTGAATAATGATTTATAAAACTAAAGAAGTTTGAAAGTGACGAATAAATAGAAACATGTCACCATTTTATGTGTTATATTTTAAATTATTATTGTTTCATGATTTATTTCAATTTTTACTTGAATATTCAACACCTAATATGAAGCTCATTTGTGCACTAACCCAGCAAGCAAAGCTCGCTGCCAAACCGCTGTCCATTTCTCGCAACAGCCAAAATCCTCCTGCTTGCTGGGCCATCAGGCCAGCGACCAGCAAAACGGGCAACATGCTTGGAGGAAAGTGCCCAGTGTGCCGCCTTAATTCAGATTTATGAATGATGGCTAAAGGAATATTGACACATTTTTCCTCTCAGTAAAGCAAGGAATCCAGAATAAAGATATTGAGAAGCTACGACTCTCCAACCTTAATCCGGTGAAGCAAAGCCAAGTTGAAAAACCGATGACAAAACTGATCATTAGAAGTAAACAAGAATATCCAATTACAACGGCTTTCCCCTACTCTCTGGAAATACTCAAGGTAAGATACTGCTCTCACTGACTCACCTTTATCTTATGAAGGCTAGATTATTATGGGACATTTCAAATACTGTAACTTCTTTTTCTTATATCTTGTCTCCATTGATACTCCTTCAGTGTTTTATCTGCCTCTTTAATGTATTATACTGTACCTGTACTGTATTATGAGGGTTGGGTGGACAGTACCAGTGGAGGAGAGTTATGTCACGTGAAATATTTTGGGTGTTTGTTTTGAACTATGTTGAAATGATTTTACGGTGTAGTGTGTGTGTGTGTGCAGTAGGAGAGAGACATGTAAGAAAGACAGTGCCTTCTTTTTGTCTTTCCTTTATTAGGTTAACATACAGTACAGTACAGTGTAGCTTTAGCGTGATGAGATCTCGCACTAAGGATGGAGGTGAGAAGGGAAACTCTCAATGGCCTTTTCTATAAAATATATTATATGTACAATGCAGTGCTAGGGAGTTGCTGTGTGGTGAGGAGCTTGTTGAGAGGAGGTCTTGTCTGTTTGAGAGCGTTGAGTAAAATCCTCTTCACGGCGAGGCTGGGGGTATTTATACGATTCTGTCGGAAGTGAGCGGCGCTGCTGGCCAATCACCGCGCAGTCCGAAAGCTAGGCTTGGGCTGAGAAATTTGCCGCTGGGTCGGCTGGTCAGCGACAAAACGGCAGTTGGCAGTTGTAGGGGAGAGTGTCCACAACAACAGTATATATATATATATATATATATATATATATATATATATATATATATATATATATATATATATATATATATATATATATATATATATATATATATATATATATATATATATATATATATATATATATATATATATATATATATATATATATATATATATATATATATATATATATATATATATATATATATATATATATATGACCTCGGTTAACGTAATTTCGATTAACGAACTGCCTTCCATAAGGATCTTCAATTCGGTTAACGAAAAAAAATTCGCTTAACGAACTTCTTACGAACCGACCTCAACATGTTTTCGCTTGCACTGACCGGGCAACCAGCTTTAGTATCAGTCCGCCAATACATTAATCGGTTCTAGGGCTTAAATTCCTTACTATTTTTGTAAATATCAAGAAGTTTATACTATTCAATAATTTTAAAAGTTTAATATTCAATTTTTTAGTCATTTTAACAATTATTGAACGAAATTGAAGGTAAAGTGACTAGTTTAATGCGCGGCATCCAGCCTCTTAACACAGCAAACAGGCGTCAGTCTCTCTCTGTTTTCACTGGAGGTAACATCTTGCTTGAGACTCTCTTCAACTAAATGCTTTTTTTCTGTGTTTCCAAGCAAATTATTGGTCATTTTGAAATATATTTTATATATTGACAATATATAATGCAGTGCAGCATTGATTTAAAGAAAATAATCTTGAATTAAACCAGAGAGCTAAAATTTTATGGGTGAAATGGCACCATGGGGTGACTTCTCTTCCACCCCAATGCCTTCTCTTCTTCCTTCTCCTCCACCCCCATTCCCATTCTATCCATCATCATCATCATCATCATCCAGGAGCCTTCTACATACACACCTCAAAGTAAGTGAACTTTTCTACCATTTTTGTTGAATTTTGGAAATTTTCGGTGAGCTGGAACCAATTTCCCAAAGACCCATTGATTCGGTTAACGAACTTTTCGGTTAACGAACGACCTTCTGGAACGGATTGAGTTCGTTAACCGAAACTACTATATATATAGATATATATATATAGATATATATATAGATATATATATAGATATATATATAGATATATATATAGATATATATATAGATATATATATATATATATATATATATAGATATATATATAGATATATATATATAGATATAGATATAGATATAGATATAGATATATATATATATATATATATATATATATATATATATATATATATATATATATATATATATATATATATATATATATATATATATAAGTGAAAGATGATTTTCTAGAGCTTATGTAATAAATTACTGTTTTATTTTCTGTTGTTTCAGGTAAATAATGTCGAGTTAAACAGAGTAGAGAAGCGCATCATTAAACTGAAGAAACTGAAGAGCCTCGATTTAAGTCATAACACTATTAAGGAGTTGCCAGCGACCATAAGTGTGATGTGTTGTCTGACTGAGCTTCACCTTTCCTTCAACCACATCCCTAACATCAGTCCCCAGGTGTTTACAGGCAGACTCTCCCACACCCTTCACCTGCTTGATTTATCTTACAATGGTGTAAGTTTTCTCAGTTTAATTATTTACACCTGTCTTGGTTACTGGGCTGTGTTGTTGTTTGCTCGTGAAGACCTTCCATTTCGTTGGTTACCTGCATGAAAGTCTCCTTATACTGTATCAGGGCCGCTTTCTCCACTGGGTAAAAGGGGCAGGTGTCTAGAGGCTCACTGTGGTGTCCATGTGGGGTATAATATGTCCTAAGCTTCCTAAAATAACAATGAACAGCAGTATTTAAACATAAAAATATCCATTTTCACTTCAGAATATTATTATTATTATTATTATTATTATTATTATTATTATTATAATTATATTATTATTTTTAATTATTATTATTATTATTGTTATTATTATTATATCATGTCCACAGAACAATGACTAAAAGAACATTTTCATGGAATAACAAAACCATGATTCAAAGTTTTGGCAGAGGACTGTGTCAGGTAGGTGCCCACCCGGGCACAGGTCATCGACCTGCAAGGAGGCCTAGGGGGTGAAAAAATACGAGAAAAAAAAGATTATATTAATCTATGCCACAAAGATGCCAGAAAACCAGCTTTTTGAAGTAAGACAGATTGTATGAGTAGGGAAACATGGAAGAAGGCAAAGCATTCCACAGTTTGGCTGTGTGAGGAAAGAAGGATGTACTATAACGGGCTATTCTAGTTGTGACCGACATCCACAGAGAAATGGTGGGCACCGCGGGCAAGACAAGTGTTACGAGCCCACGGCCTTGCCGGTGGTACACAGGATCCCAAATCCACCAAACATTGCCCGTTAAAGTACGTGTAAAAGAGAGAGGGTCAAGCAACATTGCAGCGAAGAGAAAGGGAAGGGAGATTATCAACTAAAGGAGGAGAGTCAATAAGACGAAATGTCTTTGATTCCACCCTATCTAACAGTTGGACAGAAGAAGAGCCATGTTAGGATGAATGAATCCCTTATAAACTTGAAGCAACTGTTCAAGAGTGAATTAGCTACGGCATTTGTACAGCATTCCCAGCTTTCGGGAGGCAGCTTTAACATTGTTATGGATGTGTTGCTTCCATGACATATTAGAGGAAATGGTGAGGCCTAGCCTATCTATTTTAGAATTTGACAGAATGATTGCATCCTGAAATGTGATTAGTGGGAGGTCATCTAATTTGGAAATTGTAATTGGTAAATACTGAGTTTTTTTTACTAATGAATTTAACCAAGTTTCTATCGGCTCTAGAGACAGATCTAGTTTGACAATTAGGGGAAAGGGAAAAATGTGAAGGAGAGTGAAGAGTTGAATCATCAGCGTGAGAGATCGATCCCTCGACAACAACTGCCATGGATCGGTTGTTAATGTAGCGGGAAATTAGAGAACAAAGTGGGGGAGAAACCATAAGAGGGAAATTTAGAAAACAAAGACTTGAGACTTACCCTGTCAAATGCTTTGGAGATGTCGAGAGCCACAACGAAATTTTTCCCATAATCCATAAGAGAGGATGACCAAAGATGGGTGCAGTAGGAGAGCAGATCACCAGTAGATCTCGGGTGAAAGCCATACTGGTGATCCAACAAAAGAGAAAGGCGTTCACGGTGACAGAAAATTATAGTTTAAGATAGTTTTAAAACTCTTAGAGAGGGATGAAGTTAGGGCAATGGGGCAATAGTTAGAGGGATTGGAATGGTCATCCTTCTCTGGGATGAGCTGAACCGAGGCATGCTTCCAAGAAGAAGGAAAAGTTTGGGTTTTGAGGTAAAGGCGAAAGAGGCTAGCAAGCACAGGGGCTAGAATTTGAGCAACCTCCCTAAGAACACAAGGGGGTATTCTGTCCAGTCCATGTGCCTTACTCACATCCAACCTGGATAGCACACAAGCAACCCTGCAAGTGGAGATTATAGGAAAGTGCATAGGTTCAGTAGGGGGAGCAGGGGTAGGAGGGATAGAGTTGAAAATTGTCTAAGGTGGAATTAGAGGAGAATAAGGTGCCAAAGAGATTGGCTTTGTCAGGGGGGGGAGTTGGCCATAGAGTTATCAGGTCAGAAGAGAGGAGGAAAAGAAGGAATGCAGACGTTATTACAGATGTTTTTGGTTCAGGACCAGAAGGATTTACTGGAAGAAGAGTTAATCAGGACAATGGTCTTTCTTTTTATTAAATTCCGCTTGGCCCTACGAAGAATAGCCTTACAACGATTCCTAGAAGTAATGAAAGAGGAATGGGTAATAGGAGAAAGAGATAGTTTCATAGCTCGATATGCTCTATCTCACCGTACAAGCAAAAGAACAGGAACGATCAAACCATGATTGTAAAGTGAAAGTTTTGGTAGAAGATGGGATAAATGCACTCATAACACCCTGTATAACCCCCCAATGCTGTCAGCACATGCCGAGGCATTCTGAGTGGAAAAGCAACATTCATCCCAAGGAAAGTCGGTGAAGAATTCTCGCAAGGATTGCCAGCTTGCCCTCCGATAGTGCCATAGTTGATGTTTAGTGGGGGGGGTGGGGGGGGTGGGGGAGGTGGTGGTGCCCAGATCCATTTAATAGATATAAGATTGTGATCAGAAGACCCTAAGGGGACAGAAATTGAGTATGAATAGTGTAAGGTAGATGCTGAACAGTACCAGGTAGATGCTGTACAGTATCAGGTAGATACTGTACAGTACCAGGTAGATACTCTACAGTACCAGGTAGATGCTGTACAGTACCAGGTAGATGCTGAACAGTACCAGGTAGATGCTGTACAGTATCAGGTAGATACTGTACAGTACCAGGTAGATACTGTACAGTACCAGGTAGATACTGTACAGTGCAGGGTAGATGCTGTGCAGTACCAGGTAGATACTGTACAGTACGAGGTACATACTGTACAGTACCAGGTACATACTGTACAGTACCAAGTAGATATTGTACAGTGCAGGTTAGATACTGTACAGTGCAGGGTAGATGCTGTACAGTACCAGGTAGATACTGTACAGTACCAGGTAGATACTGTACAGTGCAGGATAGATACTGTACAATAGGGGGCAGTGAAATTTTGCTCAAAGCTGCACTCTTCAGGCATTGTTCCTTATACATATCTAAGACTCCATGCCAAATTTGAAGCTGATATGTCGAGGTTTAGTCTGCCGCATTTTCTACTGAAATTTTTAAATTTACTTACAGTACTAGCCAAACAGCCGCTGTGGCGGTGCAATGTTCTGTTCAGTGTTTATCAACTTTTTTTTCATATCTCTGGCAATGAATATCTCACACATGTGACTCCCAAGACTGGACACGGAAAGCAGATTGCCAAAACTATTCACGAGTTTCTGGTGGAGAAAAATCTAACCCAGCAGCCCATGGTGTGTGTTGGTTGTGATGGAACCAATGTAAATGTAGGATCAGAAAATGGAGTCATTCATCATCTTGAAATGTTACTTGGTCACCCGCTCCATTATTTCATATGTCAGCTTCACGGAAATGAGCTGCCTTTCCGCGCAGTTTTTTATCACTATGATGGTAAACCAAGTGGTCCTGAGCATTGGCGTGGTCCCATTGGAAAGCAGATCAAGGAGTCTTTGTCTGAGCTTCCAGTTGTCGCCTTCCAGCCAGTCAGTTTCCCTGATTTCCCTGTGTTTAATGATGAAGTGGAGAAAGATCTGTCCTGGGATCAGAAATACCTGTATAGGATTTGTAAAGGAGTTATCACAGGTATTGTTGAAGATGACTTGGCTGCTATTGAGCCAGGTCCTCCCTGTGTGTCAAGGTGGAACACCTTATGGAGTAGAATCCTCAGGCTGTATGTAGCAACATCAAGACCCAGCCATGAGTTGAAAAGAATTGTCATTACAATAATAAAGTTCAGTGCTCCAATGTGGTTTTACATCAAGATACACCCTTACGTAACACACGGCTCAAGGAACGTATTCCAGTCCCTGCTATATATGAAACACCTGAATAGTGAGGAGGAGACGATAGTGAAGAAGGCTGTCCAGAGAAATGCATACTTCGCCCACACAGATCAACTTCTTCTTGGTATGTGTGCAGATGAGGACATGACTGTTAGAGAAAAAGCTGTCTCAATGATAAGAAAAATTAGAGAGGAGAATCAGCAAAAGGAAGAATGCACTGGCAGATCTGAAGAGGAGGAGGAAGATTCTGATGCTGCTGTTGACGAGAATTTGTTAAACTATACTGATGAGGAGGGTAAAGATGGAGATGGGAATGAGGATGTGCCTCCTGTAGTCAACATGAGAAAGGTGGTGACTCCGAAACTAAAGTGGCAAGCAAAAAACTATCATTCCATGATTAACTGGAGGAATGAACTCAAGACTGAGCCTCCTTACATTGCTTCTCTGTCAAATCTACAGGTTAATGACATTCTTGAGACACCATTAGTGGTGCCCAAGTGGCCAAACAGCACTCAGGCGGTCGAGAGAGGCATAAAAGTGATGACTGAAGCTTGCACTGAAGTGACGGGATACGAATCGAGAGATGGATATATTAGGCAAAGATTATTGTCTAGGAAAATGATGCCAAGGTTCCGCACAAAAAAGAATTTCAATATGAACTTGTAATGATTTTCTATACGGTGTACCTGTAAAATAACATGTGAATTAAATCGATGTCACCCATGTAAAATTTATCATTATCCTGGAAAACATTAAATGACACCTAATTTTTGGTATACACTAAAAGTTGACAAAAAGTCGTTCGCGATGCGGCAGGGTAAGTATGCATGAAATGGCATGAAATTTTGCACAGGTGTTTGTTACAGCCATACAAACGATGCCTGAAAAGTGCAGCCTGCAGCTCAAATAAAAGTGTTTTTCCCTGCCCCCTACTGTACAGTACCAGGTAGATACTGTACAGTACCAGGCAGATACTGTACAGTACCAGGCAGATACTGTACAGTGCTGTACATCAGTTCCTTGGTTCAAGAAGAGCCATAAAAGGTTGTGAGGACAACTCTTCTGTTTTTAATCATTAAAGTACACAAAGGTTAAAGAGTACTACTGTTGAAGAGGAGATAATTCTTTGTTTTATAAGACAAGATAACTTGATTTAAAGGAATAATGTATTGTTCTATTGTGGACTTGTGACTTACACAGATCACCCCTGGGTTGACTTAGTTCAGGGTAGAGTACAGTATTCTATGTTGTTGTCTTCTCCTTGTGTATAGATGGAGTACCTGCCACACACCTTGGGGCGCTTGTGTAATCTTGTCAGCCTAAAAATTGATGGGAATAAGCTACGCAAACTTCCCGCATCCTTAGGAAAACTCACCCGGATGAAGTAAGGAACTCGAACTTTGTTGAACATTTTATTGTTTTAAGTATATTGAACCAGCTGTCAAGTCCTCACCATAAAGCTCCATCCAAGTGACTCACTTGTATAGTTTAATGTATGAGTGTTGTGTCTCCCTAATGTTCTTCCTTGTGAGAGAAGTATAGTACTATACACTATTTCTTATGTGATTATTAATGATATTATGTACGGTATGTAATATGTAAATAAATTTTGTTGCTGCAGTGAAGCCGTAGAATCTTTCTAATTATTGGTGTCATTAGCTTCAACATTTTTATTTTGAGAGCTGTTGGTGGGAAGAGTCACTGTCCAAGGCTGAACTGACCTTGACAACTTGTATGCCTTCCAAGAATGATTTATTTATAAGCTTGATAAGCTTTCAGGCTTTAAAACCTAGAGAAGTCCAAGACTTAAACAGCTTCTGTTAACCTGACTCAGTGAGAGGAGGTAGTGGATCATCTGTACACACACACACATAAACACACACACACATAAACACACACACACACACACACACACTCACACACACTCACACACTCTTCAGCCTTTATAGGGTAAGGACGTGTGTAGTCACCGCTGACTCGGCCGTGGTCTCTTGACCATGGAGACAGCTGCCAGCCTGGTCTGTCGGGGCTTCCCCTTCCCCATCTCCTCCTCCCCATCTGGATTTATCAACATCCTCCCACCAACAATACAGTGCAAAGATTAACGATCAACCCACAAGTGATAAACAAAAGTGACAATTTCAACTCGAAAGAAAGAAACTACTGTTAAGAGTGACAATCGTGCTTAGCGGTCAATATTGACCTGACGTGGAACTGACACACCCAGGGTCTGCCGTACACTCACCACCACCAACACTGGATGAGAAGCCAAGAAAGACTCAAAACTACATCAGGAGAGAAATGAGGACTCCTTACTCCACCCAGGTGAGGAACTGTGAATTCCTAACTACGTCATACGAGGAACAAAAACTATCTCCAACACCCTGTGTGAGCTGGTGGACCTACCCAGACCACGAGGTGCATCGGCAGCTGTAGTGTGATAGCGGCTTAGCTGTCAGGTACAACGGCCATGAAGACAGTGGGAAGGACTTTGTTGGCGCCGACATCAGGTCACAAGAATGTCTACTGACCAGCTCTGTGTTTCTTATGTTTTGTATTGAAAGCTTAATCAATCAAGTGACCCACTCCCTAATTTCACCATATGTAACCTATCACCTCTGTTCATTGTATATTTTCAGCCTTCGGGCTGCCATGTTATCTTAATAAACCGTTAATTATTATTATTTATTTTTTATGCACACACACACACACACACACACTTTCTCACACACACACACACACACACACACACACACACACACACACACACTATCAAGGCAGCCTCGTACCGATTCTACATACTATAACGACTCAGTTCACTTGGGGCACCCACGCCAGAGCTGAGGACTATCTACAACGCATTTATTCTCCCTAAATAAATGTATGCGTCACCAGCCTAGTCGTCTTCTCTCGACTCTACCCAACGACATCAGCTAGAGAAAGTACAGAAGAGGGCCTGCAGAATCATACTTAGCGCAGACTACTCCACCTACAACAATGCTCTCTCCACCCTGGAAATGCCATCCCTCAGTGACCTCCACCACCACGCACTAGCAGGGTTTGATAGTGGACTATTGCACCATCCTCGTCATCGCCACTTCCTGCCACCGGCAGTCCCCTGCCCACCTCGCGCAGTCCGCCACTGCAACAAAATTCAGCCCATAAGAGCCTGCACTGATAGATATAAGAATAGCACCATCCCATCTATTGTTTATATACTGTACAGCCCTGTAAATGTATTGAGCGTATATTATTATGTCTAAATCGCATGTAAGTTTGTATATCTTCAGCCACCGGCTGCAACTTTATTAATAAACCGTTTAATACAGTCGGCCCTTAACATACGCGGGTTTAGCATACACGGATTTGCAAATACGCGGATTGCCCCGCCGGAGGAATATTCTGTGCATTGAAGTAATTGAAGTACATTCAAATCACGCGCCATTCAACCTGCGCGCGGCACCGAACACAGGACACCGCCCGTTCCCGCAACCTCACACACACACGCATAGCTCTCCCTCACTCAGTCAGTCTCGCTGTAACCATGCTTGTGTTGACATCAGCATTATAGTTGCAAAAATATTACATTTCTGTGAATGTATTATATCAAGCACAGTATGAATATCACTAGTATAACAGTGTTTTAACCGAAAACTATTAAATAAACGAGTAACATATCTTGAACATCGGAAGGTTAGGTAAAGTCTTTTGTTTTCGTCATGTATTTTATCCTATTTTACATTGAAATACAGTCGACCCTCGTTAAAACGGACTAATAGGGGGGGAAGGGTGTCCGTTTTAGCCGATTGTCCGAATTAACCGATTTAGGGGTTAATATTGCATTATACAGCTATGTGTATGTTTATTTGAGTGCCCCGTCATAGGAGTCTGTTTTCTCTCACTTCAGCACTCCTGAGTCGTCCGTTTTCTCTTAATCTTAGAGTGCACCAGAGACTGTTATATCTTAGTAGTGACACAGAATTTGATATTGCAACTGGGGTTGCAATTGTTGAGGCAACTTAGGTATGTCTGATTACAGTTGGAATATTCAAGATCCATTGTGAGTGATGTTTAAAGCTTCAACTGTCTTTATGGTTGGTAAAACTTGTCAAGTCTGTCAGTCTGAATGGCATGTGTGAGGCCTTGTATTTGTACAACCGCTAAATATATAAATATATAATGATATGGTAATTATCAGAAACACATAGGCATAACGAGGTTTGTTACAAAGTGATGAAAAGGATACTGTACAGTGGCTAGTCCACAAAACATGTAGCCATGTCTCTGTTTGAATGCCCCGTCATAGGAGTCCGTTTTTTCTCACTTCAGCACTCCTGAGTCGTCCATTTTCTCTTAATCTTAGAGTGCACCAGGGACTTTGTTATTTTTTAGTAGTGACACAGAATTTGAAATTGCAACCCCAATAGCAACTGGGACAATCCCAGAACCAGAAATTTGATATGGACAGTTCAGATTTCGTCCGATTTATCCGAAATCCGGATTAAAGGGGTCCGAATTAACGAGGGTCGACTGTACAATACGTTTCAGCAAAACTACTATTTATTTCTGAGAATATGGAAATGTAATATTTTTGCTGAAATGACGTAGGTATTACAGTGGAAAGTGACGAAAGCAATGACTTTCGCTTTCTTTCGTTCAAAAGATGTTACCGTAATCGCTTTTCGAATGGTTTTCAGTTAAAAAACTTTTGTATTACAATAATATTCTATCCTAATTCACTTGTGATGCAACAGTTTTTTAACTGAAAATCATTCGAAAAGCGATAACGGTAACATCTTTTGAACGAAAGAAAGCAAGTCATTGTTTTCGTCACGATTTTATCCCACTTTCCACTGGAATACGTACGTCATTTCAGCAAAGATATTACATTTCCGTGAATGCATTATATCAAGCACAGTATGAATAGAATACCATTGTAATATAACAGTATTTTAACCGAAAACTATTATAAAAACGAGTAACATCTCTTGAACATCGGAAGGTGAGGTAAAGTCTTTTGTTTTCGTCATGTATTTTATCCTATTTTACATTGAAATACATCACGTTTCAGCAAAACTACTATTTAGTACTGAGAATATATGCATTCGGGTGCAGTTTAGGTAAAATATACATGTGATGTAACATTTTTTTAACTGGAAATGATTCGAAAAACACGTACCCTCCAGCCACTGTTCAAGTAGAAGACTGGGAGGAGCTGTTTGGTGCTTAAGACGATGACAAGGAAAATGATTTTGATGGATTTTAATGAAAATATTCAGAAATATGGTATAGTAGTATTTATTCAAGTGAATTAGGATAGAATATTATTGTAATACAACAGTAGTGACGATGTGAAGGAGGCGGAGGGATAGAACAGGGAGGAGGCGGAGGGATAGAGCGGGGAGGAGGTGACTGGCAGGAGCAGGGACGAGGTGTATTAATTTTTTTTATAGCTATTTTTGCATTTTAATATTAAATACTGTACATTATGTTTCAACAAAACTACCATTCATTTCTGAGAACATGGAAATGTAATATTTTTGCTGAAATGTTGTACGTATTACAGTGGAAAGTGGGATAAAATTGTGACGAAAGCAATGACTTTCTCTTTCTTTCGTTCAAAAGATGTTACCGTAATCGCTTTTCGAATGGTTTTCAGTTGTGGGATTATAAGGCTAATGATAGGATAGAATATTATTGTAATACAGTACGAGTACAACAGTTTTTTAACTGAAAACCATTCGAAAAGCGATTACGGTAAAATCTTTTGAACAACGAAAGAAAGCGAAAGTCATTGTTTTCGTCATGATTTTATCCCACTTTCCACTGAAATATGTGCGTCATTCCAGCAAAAATATTACATTTCCATATTTATTTCCGAGAATGTATTCATTCAGTCACAGTTAAGGTAAAATATACTTGTGATGTAATATTTTAATAAAAATACAGTATCGTAGTTTTCTTTTGTTTCAAATTTAATTAACAAAGATTGATGTTTCAAATGTAATGAACAAAAATTTATGTCCAGTATCTATAAATACACTTTAATAAATGAATACTTTATGTTTTACATCGTCCTGTGCTACCATACCATGGATTTGGCTACTTTGGGCTTGCTATGATGACGCAAGAGATCTGCCCTGGCAACTGTACCGACACTCACAGCTGGTGGTGCGTTGGTGCATCGTTTCCATTGTTTACTGGTAGTTACTGGTAAATATTTTTCAACCTAACGAAACTATTACCCGTTTAGAGGTCGACCCCCAATTTTTTGCCAAATAATTTGGTCTTAAAAACTCGAACTACACACAGGTATATAAGGTAAATAAGGACATGGGGGGGGCCAGGATTTTTTTTTGGGGGGGCAGCAAAAATATGCGGATT